ATATAGAAGCAAACTATACCTGTCACGTAATATAAATAAACACACACATGCCTACAAGATATCGTGTAACCGGCATGGCAAAGTCACTGGGAAAGGCATACCTATCTGTGATTATTGACCTACTCTGGGCTATGACATTATACTAAGCTCTTTGGAGGAATCAAAGATGAAATTAGAAGTTTTCTTGACTAACATCCAATTCTTTTGGAATTTCCTTTTTGGGGCATGTTATTTTAGGGTCATTCTAAGGGTTCATGCCTATAATAAAATACCATAAAAATATCCCTGGAGCTACCCTGCCTACTGGTTCATTTTCTGAGTGGACTCAACAGACTGGTGGCTTGGGGTTTGTTCTGGGCCCCTTGCCTCAGGAGCACCCTGGTGTGACCTCACACACCACAAAAGAGCCTAGTGGGGGTTTTTTTTTGTTTATTTTGTTTTGTTTTTTTGTTTTGAGACAAAGTCTTGCGCTGTCGCTCAGGTTGGAGTGCAGTGGCTTGATCTCCGCTCACTGCAACCTCCACCTCCTGGGTTCAAGTGATTCTCCTGCCTCAGCCTCCCAAGTAGCTGGGACTACAGGTGCCTGCCACCACGCCCAACTCATTTTTGTATTTTTAGTAGAGACAGGGTTTCACCGCCTTGGCCAGGCTGGTCTCAAACTCCTGACCTCAAGTGATCCTCCTGCCTCGGCCTCCCAAAGTGCTGGGATTATAGGCTTGAGCCACCATGCCCGGCCAGAAGAGCCTAGTTTTAAGCGAGAGTTCATGGCACTGGGGCATTTTATTCCTCCATTTGCCTAGCAGCTTCCACTGCAGATGTTTTCTTACCCTTCTGGCTATTTTCACCTTTCTTTCAGTGGCTTTTTTTCCCCATTTTTTAAAATTCGCAGTCTTCCTGTTTCTAAGTATTTACCATATTTCTGTTCATGCTTTTTCCCTGACTTTTATTTTTCACCCCTTCTTAGCCCTCTCTCCCAACCACATCTGTTTTACTCCCTTTCATTTTTCCCCCATTCCTTTATTCCCTGCTGTCCTGTTTTTCTTTGTTCAATTCAGAACATCAGCCAGAAGCTTCCCTGTTGCTAAGTAACCATGTCACCCACACACCCCTTTCCATTCTCAACTTATTTCTTCTGTTTTAATAAACTCATGGGCCCGAATGGTCTCTAAAAGAAAACGAGAGGTGCTGCTGTCTTCTCTTCATGCAGCAGAGATGCATACCCTCTCATATCCTGCCTTTTCTTATTAGATTTTGACTTCTTGTTTTATTGATAATTGCCCCAGACTGTGAGATAACACTAAATAAGCACAAAATATCCTTTTGGGCTAAGACAATTTGCAGAAGGGAGGAAGAGATATAATTTCTGCAGAAGGAACAATGAAAATGTTTAAAATATAGTTACAAGGCGTGGCATGGGCTCATTGAAGGGTGTTTGCCTTGACCCCAGAATCAAATCCAGCCCTCCCTAGTGAAGGGTTTCCATTAGGGATCAAGTTAGCTAGCAAGTCCCTCTTAACATATCCTTATATTGTTGAGTTGTGAGGAAGCTACTAATGGTGTGGTAAGTGTGATTTGCACAAAATGAAGGATAAAACAATACAAGAAATCATTATGTGGTTTTCCAAATCTCAATCCTTTTCCAGACATCAATCTGACATGACACTTGTGCCAAAGGCATAATTGGAGGTGTGTTAGCTCTTCTCACAACATGTTCTTGAGGGATTCCAAGTCTTCTGGCACATTTTAATAATTTAATGGGAATGGTAACTCCATATGTCCAAACACTAGGGCAGAGTAAGAGATACCAGATTTGAAAAAAATCTTTTCACCCTTGCAATACCATAAATAATTTCCTTCCCTGGTGTGAATTCTTTCTCTGTCCTCTTGCATTTATGCAATGCCTGGGAGGCCTTTCCTGCTAAGTCCGCCCCCACATTGTTGCTCTCAGCTTTTTGCCTACAGTGAGCACTGCGCTAATTGGGTAGCTTCGAGAGCTGCTTCTTAAGAAGTATCACAGCCTTCCAGGTAGGTGTGTGTCCCAGCTCCTCAGGTAGTGCTCTCTGTCAGGGAAGGGCTTGTATCCAGCATGTAATGAATACTCAATAAGTTGCCTTAAATTGAACCACAGAACACAGACACTCTGACAGGGGGATTATTTTTAGTTTCATTTTCTAGATAGAAGGCCTTTCTTCACATTAAAGTCTAAGTTCATCAATCAAAGTGCCAGAAATGAAGCTTATGCATTTCCATCACTGTCCTGAAATGCAGATGGAGCATTTCAGTAGAGGGAAATTTCAAAAGTTTTTTCATCAAGACCTGTTGATATTCTGAAAGCAGAAACCCTATAAGACTAAAACCCACTCTAAGGTATTCTAAGAATGCCTAGCCAGAACTAGAATTGGCAAGCTACTAGTTTTCCTTCTAGAATTGAGCCCCTTTGAGATGTTAGGTCTTCTGAAAGTTTCAGAAAATTTTAATATAATTTCAACTTTTATCATAGGGTAACCTCAACTGATGAAACATACATTTGAACCTCCTGGAAGTTTTATTTTATGTACCACTTACTTTAAATTATACAAAACCTTCACTGTCTTCCAGTATTCAATTCTCTTTTAACTTTTCTTCTCTCAACTTGAGATATCAGGCAACACCACCATGTCATATTTTCTTTTCTTACATTTTTGAACATCTAAATCCTTTTTTCCTTTCCATCCTCCTCACCAATGTGGTCTAGTCTTATAGGGAACTTTTCTCTCCAATCACAATCCCCTTCTCTTCCACTTCTCACTTAGCTACTCTTCCCACACCCCCAAAAGACTCTCGCTTTGTGATTCCAGTCCTAGAATTATTTCCCTATTAGCGTCTTCCTCACTTCACTGCTTATCTACCCCATGGAGCTCTCACGAGCCAGCCCTTTAACCACTCTCTTCAGTATCTCAGTTCCCTTACCCCTCATTGGCCTGGCAACTCCCCAACCTGGGATGAGTTCATCTTCATGTCTCCCTGTCTGAGCCCAGGCTCTCTCTCCTGGAGAGAGATCACAACCCTGCCATGGATGGCATTCCAACTCTGTGACCCCAAGTACTGGTCCCTCCAGGCTGGTCTCAGCAGTTCTGTGTTTCCTTCTCATATTCCTCCTCATCTGCTTTTTTTTTTTTTTTCTTTTCTGAGACAGGCTCTTACTCTGTCACCCAGACTGGCACAATCTCAGCTCACTGCAGCCTCAACTTCCCAGGCTCAGATGATCCTCCCACCACCTCAGCCTCCCTAGCAGCTGGGACTACAGGTGTGCGCCACCATGCCCGGCTAGTTTTTGTATTTTTTGTAGAGATAAAATTTTGTCATGTTGCCCAGGATGCAATCAAACTCCTGGGCTCAAGCGATCCTCCCGCCTCGGCCTCCCAAAGTGCTGGGATTATAGCCATGAGCCACTGCACCTGGCCTTAACTCATTCTTTTTAGCTCCACATTCTATTCTACAATAAGGAAGCACCATAACTTACTAAACTACTTTCTTTTTATTAAACTTCATTTTTTGTTATTACAAAGAATGTGCTAATGAGGTGCTTATACATTTATTTTTGTTTATATATCTAAGTATTTCTGTAGGATACATAGAAATTTTTAGGTAAAGTGGCTTGAAATTTTTAGGTATAGGAGTTGTTTTTTGCTTGTAAATATATTTAAATATGTGCAAACTTTTATGTATTAAAATAGGCAAAATACGTAAAACCTTAATTCACAGAACAGCAAATCTGAACCAACGAACATATATAAAAATACTCAAGTTCAACTTATAGCCAGGAAAATAAAAATTAAACTTGCAATATCAGTTTATAGCTACTAAACTGGCAAAAATCTAAAAGACCAATACAAACTGTTACTGGTGGAAATATGGGAGAAAGAGTTGTTTTTGTTTTTTGTTTTTTTTTGGGGGGGGAAACAATCTGGCAACCTCTACTAAAATTTAGAAACATATATAGACTTCAACTGACAAACCTACTAACTCTTAGAGTTCAATCCTACAAAATAGAAGTCCAAAAGGTTGGAATATGTAGACAAAGATATCTTTGGGAATATTCATTTCTTCCTGCAAATATTTATTAAGTTCTGACTATATTGCCATCACTTCACAGATGAACAAGGCACAGGCCCTGCCCTTAAGTTACTCACAGCCTATCTGGAGACAGATGAGTACACAAGCAACTGGAGTTCATGAGCGAGGTGTCTAGAAGCAATCTGGGCCTGGGATGAAAGGCTGCAAAGATTTCACTGAAAAACAAATTTGCAAGACTAAAATACAACATGCTTCCAAGGCCTTGGATTAAGTTGTGTGGTCCAGGATAGCTGAACAGAGTAAAGATACCTGGATATAGGGAAAAGATAACCCATAAACTTTTCCCGAAACAAAATTATGTTAAGAAAAGTAACAGGTACTCTAATTACTCTGGTGGCAGTGGAAATAGAATATGAGATACACAATGAAAAAAGAACTTACTTTTTGGGAAGAGAATTAAAAGAGTCTGTTATTAAATGGTAGCCAAAATGCTGTTTTTCTCATATACCTGGCACAGAACATACTCTTGAAAGCTATGTGTTAAATCAATAAAGTATGACATGGGAACAGCATATGAAAAGGTTTAGCTCAGATAAACTTGAATTCAGTCAATAATCTCACCTATTTAAGATTTTTTCCTTGAATAGACTTTTTTCCTTCCTTCCTTCCTTCCTTCCTCCCTTTTCCCCACCATTTTTCAGGAGAAAGAAACACTCTGGTCAAATAGGGGTTCTAAATCCTGTTAACCTTACTTTAACCCTGTGATTTCACCATTTAATGACAAGGCAAAACCATCAGCTCTTAAATCATGAACTTTAAATGCCAAAAACAGTGTTGAGCAATTTGTAAAACATGAATGTTATATAGAAAAAGCATGACTAACACTAAAAGCAAACAAACAAAACAGACAGTTCATTAGAAACTGGTAATACAGAATTTTGTACCTAACAGATCTCGGAAAGAGATTGACAGCCCAAGGAGAAACAAGAGCAGCACATCTAGATGAAGGCACATTTTCTCCCCAACTGTTGTCATTCAAGGAAAAACCATGAGCATGAGTTCTGGTGTGGGAGGGTAGGGACCTCCATGAAATCATGAGAGCATTCCCGGAGTCTAAGTGCTGTCTGGCTTTGCTCCCACATCAACAGCAAAACAACTGCATAGCAACCTACATGTGCCCATTTCCTCACTCATTAATGTCTGTCCGGAGGAAACACCCCTGCCAGTCCCTGTCTGCTTTGTAAAGTATGTCAAACAGGAGTTGAGCCTGTACGCCAGATTGGGGAGCGACACATGCTGGCATTTCCCAGCACATGCGGCTCCCCTCGGCTTTCTGGAGCACTGCCTTTTGGCAACAGAGCAGCTAGAGCTCCTCTCCCCTCCCCCATTTCCTCTCATAAAGATAACCGGTAACAACAATTGGCGCGCGTGTGTGTGTGTGTGTGTGTGTGTGTGTGTGTGTGTGTGTGTGAGCTCCCAGTTGGCCAAGTACCCTTTACATCCAGTGACCTGTTTTATGAAGAATAGGAAAGAGTTTCCAGCTTATTTTCTGCATTCTCAGGAGTACGCAGAGCTCACAGTAAATGCAGAGTAACAATCACTTCTAAAACAAAGAAAAAAACACTCTAAATTCTGCTCTGCAAAGACCATTTGCCATCTGTTCCTTTCCCCCTGACAGGACTGCTTATCAGGACTCCAGCAAGGACACCATCATAGCAGTCTAGATCGGAGTACTTTTCCTCTGATGAAGGGGGTATTTCCTTGAACTTTCCCGTCTGCTTCTAAGCAAGAGGTATAAAATATTATCTATAAAATAAGACTAGCAAGTGACTCACAGTGAATAAAAATAAATCAGGGTGCAGTTTGTCATCATCTTTAAGAGAAAAAAAAAAGGAAAATGCTCCACAATTGGAGAAACAACTCACTTTTTCAAACCTCCTCAAGGAACGTCTTCAAATGATAGGCAGGAAATGGGTATGTGGGGGTTAAGTTAAGCTCAAGTAAACTCAAGTGGCAAGAGCATGATCCAGCCCCATCATGCATATTCATAAGAGGCAACCTGAGCTTCCGTGTAAAACCACAGTGTGACTGTGTTTCCTGCACACACTTTGCATCCCACACAGCCCGGACACGCTGCAGCACTGGAGAGGCCCAATGCCTTGCTTTATAACATGGCTCAGAGGCACCATAATTGTTCACTGACAACTTAACCTACACATTGACCAGATGTTCTCCATAGGCCTTATGACAGCTCTAGAAGTATCTGTCAGGATGGAGTTTGGAAGTCATCATTGTGTAAGTGTGAATCTCAAGGCTTTGGCTACTAAGAAGCAAAAATGGAATATGGTTATTTGTTTTCAGTAAAGTGTTGGGCATTTATTACTAATACTCTAATGGAGAAATAGGTCAGTCTAACCAACATGGGAAGACGATAACACTCTATATACTGCTTCTCTTCTCAACAGACTTTCTACAACAAAATACCCATAGTTTCAGCTGCCAGAAAATATAAACCAAAGGCCTTGTTTCGGTGGGATTTGGGGTGGCATCGATAGTATAGTGGTGAACATAACTGCTTTTCAGCAGAATTTGGGGAGGCATGTACTGGGTTTTTTCATTCATTCACTCAACAAATATTTATTAAGCATCACTATGTGCCAAGTACTGCCCTGGGCACTTGGAAAAACCACAATGAACAAAACACAAAAGTCCCTGCATCATGAAGCCTATGATTGCTGAGTGTTTCAGACTGCCATGCTCCTCCAGAGAGAAAGAACACTTTATCATGTGCCTGTCATTAAAGGACCTGGACCTTTTTCTTCAATTTCTTTCAAATGCCCTCAATGACTCTGTCAATGAAGTTTGTATGTGTGGCCGTATGTGCTGTTTGAAAGAGAGAAGAGAGAGGGAAAGAAAGCAACACTGAAACACGATTCAAAAAGTGATAGAAAGATTTACCTTTATGATTAGGAAAGCCACAAAGACACGAGTACTGGGAAACACAAAAGAACACTAGTGCAGATGGAAAAATCTATTTGTTCTATTAGGAAGATGCAAAATATTATCAAGATGTCAACTCTTGGCTGGGCACAGTGGTTCACACCTGTAATCCTAGCACTTTGGGAGCCCAAGGCAGATGTATCATCTTATGTCAGGAGTTCAAGACCAGCCTGACCAACATGGTGAAACCCTCTCTCTACCAAAAAAAAAAATACAAAAAAATTAGCCGGGCATGGTGGTGCATGCCTGTAATCACAGCTACTTGGGAGGCTGAGGCAAGAGAATCACTTGAACCTGGGAGGCAGAGGTTGCAGTGAGCCGAGATCGCGCCATTGCACTCCAGCCTGGGTGACAAGAGCGAAACTGTTTCAAAAATAAAAAAAAGATGTCAACTTTCCTGATTTAAGCTATAAATTTGATATACGATAAAAATTTCATAATGGTCTTATGAACTAGATAAGTTGATTCAAAGCACAAACAAAAATCTGAAGGGGAAAAATCTAATGAGGGAGGAACTAGCTCTACCAGATGCTGAAATATAAAGTTTTGATAACTAAAAGTGTACACTAACTCATAAATAGACGAAACAGTGGAACTGAATGAAACACCGGGAAACAATTCCAAATCCATTTGGGAATTAAATATCTGACCAACATGGCACATTGCCTACAGGTCTGTTGACCTCAGCAGCATTGTCAGCCATGCAGTGTGGTCCTTCACTTCCTTCTCATTAGGAGGCTTGGAGCTAACCAGAGGCTGTGGGCTCAGGAGTAAGAAAGAACACCAGGCTTAGATGGCTAGACACTGGAGCACCAATCTTGCTCTACCACCTGTAGCTTGGTGACCTTGTGTTGAGCTTTGGTTTCATTGTCTACAATATGAGGATAATGAAATCTATCGCAAAGCATTATTGTGAAGATAAGTTTATATAATATATGAATCTACCTAACAAATATCAAGTTCTTAACAAAATAAACATATTCTAATTGAATAGCTTAATGGGCATCTTAACTCCAGGATGACAGTTTCACAATTTGTCTGTCTGCAGACAGAAATTGCTTTTTAAAAATCTCAAATCCTTTTTTTTTTTTTTTTTTTTTTTTGTCATTCAACATGTAAGTAAGATTTAGGAAAAAGAAAGAATTATTTTAAAGCTCAGATTTAGAGTCAATGATTTCCTTACAGAGGAAAGTCTTTATAAATAAGATCAAGTTGTTGAGTGGGTGGATGAAATCCAGCAAGAGAAGTTTCAGTTACATAGCACAGGAAAGGATCTTCTGATTTCAGTGTTTTAAAGGAAGATGTGGAGCTTTTTAAAGATGACACTGGACTAAGCATGAGCTGATGGAAACCTGACCTATGTGTAGAGACTGCCCGAGGTTTGGGTGTGGTGCCAAAATGGAGACCCTACTCTTGCACAAAAGAAGCTTAAACAATTTATGGTGAGGGTAGAAGTACAAACAAAATTGCATGTAAATTTTTAATTCCACCTTTGGTTATATTGTACAATTCAGTGCCTAAGGGATCAAAGGATGTTGAAGAGAGTTTTGGGAAATCACATATACTCTTGGAAAACTTCATGACAAAGGACAATCTTGGGCAGTGTTGGAAAGGGACGACATGGATCACTTGGTGGAAAGTGGCAGGCAGAAGAGTGTGTGGATGCCTCAGAAGTGGGTGTGGTTAAAGGAAGGAACAATAAAGGGTTCGATGGCTGCAATAAGGCATACAAGACAATGAGATGAGTAATAAGCTGACAGAATGCTTGCTGAATAATCCTGATTTAAATTTGTCAGGCAAGTGATGAAAAGAATGTTTGCTGCTGGCCAGGATGGTCTGACCAAGAAAGCTAGACGCAAGAGACCAATAAGGCTATTTCCATTGTCTAAATAACAATGCTTAGGTCCAAGCTGGTCTGAACCTGTGAAAACAGAGACAGTGCACAGCTTTGAAAATCCTGTAGGACAAGGAATCAAGGAATTGGTGATTTTTCTGGACAAAATGATAGAGGAAAAGGTTTAACAAGGTTAGGATCATAGAAAGCTGATGGGAGGATGGAGCCATTGTCAACAAAGAGAACTTCAGACCTGCTAAGCATTTGTAAGGAGGACAAGGAGGGAAAATAAACTTAGTTTTGGCTGCATTTGGCTGTAGATGACAACCAATGTAACCACCCAAACTCCATCAGAAACGGAATCAAGACTTTAAATCTAATAAATTCAGAATTCTTAGCAAAAGAATATTATGCTGTTTCTTTTGTCATGGGGCTAAAAATTTTTCCCATTTGTAACAGGCATAAAATATACTTATGAAAGTCATGCTTATCACTGACCTACATCTTCTGTAAGGAAAATGTATGTTACAGACACCAAGAAGATCTCACCTCCCACCCTCTCTGTGATAGAGAAAATAGCAGAGGAGCACATTTTTGACAATCTTGCTAACAAGGGAAACATTTCATGCAGTATCATCAGCTCCACCATCTGTCTTACTCCCAAGTCCACCAGCTGCTAAAATATATAATTTTCTTTAGGTCATCATTTTGGTCTTTTCTTGGCTACTGGTCATTGAAAAGGTGAGATGTTACTAGGTCATTGTGTGGGCTCCCAGATGGATGTCAGAGATAGGGCCATAGCTGACTGTGATGTGAATATAGGATCTACATGGTCAGCACCTATGTCACAATGTCCCATAAGAAAATCAACATCATTATTTTATAATTCATACCTCACTTTTTAATAAATGGATTAATTATTCACCCAATTCACCAGGTTTGACTTTGAATAATCCTCAGGTTTCCCTTCCCCCCAGAACATATCTTTAAAGAAACTGAAGAATTTTTGTGACAGTGTATTATAGTTTTAAATATATTTAGCAGCAGAACTTTTATTTTTCTAAGGAGAACCTCAAGTTATTAAACAGTCAATATTCATTAAGGTCTTTCTCATCTTATCTGAATTTTCAGGAATTGATGGAAATTATGTCATTCCTTGTGAACTTCTGAAAAGCCTGTGGAAATGAAGGCAAGTCCAAAAGAGATCCCAGCATCTTCTGAGCACCCACAGAAGAGTAGAGCTGCCCGATGTGACTACATATAAGAGCCAACATTATATGCTGTTTGATATGCTTTTAAAAACATTAACCACACCTTGTGTTACATAAAAGCAAAGGCTTTAGAGTCGGACAGGCCTGGGTCTGAATCTTGCTGTATGATCTTCAGCAGGTTACTTAGTCTCTCCAAGACTCAGTTGAAACTTCTGTGAAATGGATATAATAATACACATCTTAAAATATTGTTATGAGGGGAAAACGATGTGATATGTGTAAAGAACTAGCATGGTGTCTAATGTATAGTAAGTGCTCAAAAATGGTAGGTAATAATTATACTATTGGAAATAATAATAATTGCCTTACCATATAGGGTGTAATCACCAGAGAGTGTCAGAAGGAACTGCAGAGTTAGTAATGACTAACTGCTAGTTTAGTTAATGAGCTAACAGTCAGTTCATACCAGACTACTGTGCCCCAGAATGGAATTTCTAACTCTTCTATCATAAATAGCATCAGCAAGTAAGACACTGAGGAGTCAAAATGCCACCTGGGTATGTATTAGTCCATTCTCACACTACTATAAAGAACTGCCAGAGACTGGATAATCTATAAAGGAAAGAGGTTTAATTGACTCACAGTTCTGCCTGGCTTGGGAGGCCTCAGGAAACTTACAATCATGGCAGAAGGTGAAGGGGAAGCAAAGACTTTCTTCACATGGTGGCAGGAGAGAGAACTAGTTAGAGCAGGGAAAACTGCCTTATAAAACCATCAAATCTCATGAAAACTCACTCACTATCACGAGAACAGCATGGGGGAAGCTGCCCCCGCCCCCCATGATTCAATTACCTCCCACCAGGTCCCTCCCTCAACACGTGGGGATTATGGGGATTTCAATTCAAAATGAGATTTGGGTGGGGACACAGACAAACCATATGAGGATATAAGGCTATTCCACGAATACTTTCAGCAGAGTATCTATGATTTTAGTGAGTAGACCTTGACAGCTAAATGAAGCTTTCTTCCTTCTTTCAGGATCCTGGGATCTTCTATAGATACTCATTGCCTTATTTTAAGAACCTTCAGAGAAGCAGATTCCACAACTTCCCTTAATAACCTATTTCTGTGCTTAGTAATTGTTCCTCTTAGTAAATCTTCTGAGCTAATCTGAATCCTCTGTGCTCTAATTTAAGGCCAGTCATCTCACATTTAATTCAGATCTTATTGATACCTGTATCACTATTAAAGCAAATTGCAACTAGAAATATTGACAAATGTGTTATCACGGAGCTTTCAGCATGAGCATATGCTTTTAACAATCAACGGTGATGAGTTAACATGCCAGAGAGTGGCATTGTTCATGTAATCAGAGATATATTAGCAGTGTTCTCTTAAAGGCACAGCCCCAGTTCATCTTTGACAACTGTCATACACTGACTTGTGTGACATGAATCAGAAATAAGCAGCATTTTAAAAGTCAGCAAAATGAAAGGAACAACATCTAAGTGTTTTCGGCAGAGTTTTCAACTGCTCTGGCCAAGATGCATCCCAGGGATTTGGTTTTCAAGGTGTTGGCTCCTATTTTTTTATTTTATTTTATTTTATTATATTTTATTTTATTTTAAAGACAGAGTCTCACTCTGTCACCCAGGCTGGAGTGTAGTGGTATGAGCTCAGC